ATCTCAATTATTGCTTGAGATATTCAATTGAAACTTAAAATACTTATTTATAGTAACAAGGTTCATCAGATTGACAAGTTGGATAACTCTTCCTACAATATTGACAAAATTTTGCCCCTTTGGAACTTAGAAATTTTGGTTAAAGTTTTTTTTGTAAAGTCAAATATATCAATTATTGCTTGAGATATTCAATTGAAATTTAAAATACTTTTTTTATAGTAACAATGTTCATCAGTTTGCAAATTGCATAACTTTGCCTGTTATATTTGCAGAATTATTTGCCCCTTTGAAACTTAGAAATTTTGGTTAAAGGTTAATGGTCTTCAAAGATAATTACTTGAAACTTTACACATGTACTTAGGGTCATAATTTGAGGGTCATAATTGTATGTCACTGACCAAGTTCCATAAATCTATCTTGCATTAAGGCTGATTCATATCCCCTTTTCTACTTAGTCTCTTTGTTAATGTTTACATGCAAGTTGTACATATCTCAATAACTATTAAAGATATTTATTTAAAACTTCTCATATGCATTTTGGGTCAAAAATGTAGGTCACTGACAAAGATCCATAATTCTATCTTGCATTTAGGCTGATTTTTCTCCCCTTTTTCAACTTAGAAATTCATGGTAAAGTTTTGCTTGTAAGCTGTTATCTCCATAACTATTGAAGGGTTTGTGCCTTTTTGGGACAACTTTATGCATTCATAATAATAAAGCAGTGATTTACTTGATAAAACATCTTAATAACAAGCCTTTGTACCTTTTCTGTCAAATTTATGTTGTCATAGGTAATTAGTATTATTATACTCAATAAAACACCCTTGTGACATTACCTTCCGAATAGTCAAGCCAATACTGTATAATTAGACTCTCTCTTAAAGGCCTAAAACATGAATTTATAAAAAACTTTAGCCCTTTTGTGAACTAAAAAAATTTAACATTATCAAGGCTCCTTTACTATCAAGCACTTAGAATAGTCGAGCATGCTGTCCTACCGACAGCTCTTGTTAGTATTTCAAGTGCTTAAGCATCAGAAAGTTGGCCTATTGATATAGTAATATTTAGTTATCAAACGCATTAATTATACTAATGGACTTTCAGCCAATGCTGTCAAACCTTGATTGTTTGTTAAAATTGGCTATTTGATATAAATATGGAAGTGATTTGTAGTTTGATGTTTTTCAATGTCACCTATTAATCTCTTCAGCACCTATTTTGAGCCAAATCAAAATAATTGTTTCAATAAGGGTTTGTTTGTCTGTTTGTTTGGTGGTAAAATTTAGTATTTTGTGTCCGTTTAGTGATATTTTCTTCATACTCATTGCATAATATAGACATACAACCTAAAACACATGATAGGAATAAACTACTGCATAAAAATCCAAAACAAAATGGGCGTACATGTATATACAGGAAAGTCAGGAGGGTAGATTTACATTTTGATTTTCTTTGATTGTTTTCTTTTTCACATATGGTGTTATAGTGCACATCCTGTTTAGCGGAAATTCACATATATTTTTTACCAATGCTCAATTTTGAGATTCATATGTGGTTCATTGTGTGATTATAATAGTTAAGTTGATAATAGAATAGAAAAGCTTTGAACACAAAATGGAATGAAATAAGATGTGATTGATACTTAATATTGTTCAGTGTGTTGGTACAGAATGGATAACAACATGTTTGTCAGTGTATGAGCTATAGTATAGAAAAGACCAAAGGTGATAGTGGCATTGATTTGACCTAAAAATATGTGTTTAACCTTGTTATTTATGCAATAAAAAAAAATAATAAAACAATTTCTGTTGTTTTGTCTATAACAATATAATAGTATTTTTATTTTTTTAATATATGGATATTTATTGCATAAATAACAAGGTTAAATACATTTTAGGGTCAAATCAGTGCCACTAGCACCTTTGGAAAGGACATGCACTTAACACACAATAGCAAGAAATTATTGAAATACATTAGGAATTTTGAGAGAAATTTATGTCTACACAATTATATTATAGAGAAGGTTTTTATAGTTTTAACATTTAACGGTTTGTCTGCCAAAAGCTAAGTAATATGTTTGCATAACTTTGTGGTCCTCTACAAAACTTATATTCATCCAACTTCGGTCAGAATTCGGGGCCCCAACCTGGGATCACTTAATTTAGGAGTACATTTAAATCTTCTTGTGCCAAAAAGTTAGATATTTGGCATGAAGCTTTGCAAAATGAATCTTTACAAAAGATAAATGTATCTTCATCAGCAACTAACAGTTACCAAACACCAACAGTAACTAACAGGTATCAAAAATCTGAAAAAAAATTCATTTGTTTCAGCTGAGTGCACCTTAGCCTATTGTTTAGGTCAGGACTTAACTCAAAATAAAGCCATATGTATGAGAATTAACATACAGTTTAAAGTGCACACACAATTTCATATTATAAGTTTTTATTAGGAAAAACATACTTCTTGACAGATCCCTGTTATTATTGGATGTGCTGGATTGTTAGATAAGATAGACTACTCTTACAGGTAAAAACGTAAATCAGGGGAAGTAATTAGGTTGAATATAAACATTACTGTTTTAATTGAGGATTATTTAAGGTCACTGTGTATTTAAGCTGAAACATAAACAATTAATAAAAACATGAATGGGATTAATTTTACTTATTCTATAATGGTCTATCTTGTCGCTTTATCTTGAATGATTTGTCGAATATAACAAGTTATATTATAAACACACTCCTTGTTTGGATTTTGAGAGTGACTGTACAACCATATTGTTAAATTACAGCGAATTTTAGATATAAATTTAAATTTAAAATATAAGAGTCAGGAGAGTTATAATTAGGTAGTGATATACATAGTGATAATGTGGAGATAGGAGATATGTTAAGATAATGTTAAGATAACATTATAGATTGTGTTATATTAACAATCTTTTGTATATTTATTTATTGCATGATTGAATATATTTTATAAAGCAAATTTACCTGCACATTTTAACTCTTAATGTATTATAATGTTTGTTTTGTATACAGAATGGATATTGTTTGTTTACAGCAAAGTTAGATTTTGACGATAGCTTTAAACCTGTTCAGATATTAAATGTGGAAATTGATTTTTATAGATTTAAGAAATTGGATCTTGTCAGTGGGGAGCTCAATTGTCTTTAGTGTTTGTGTTTTATGTGTCAATTTTCAAGGGAGTGACTCAGATAATTAGTTTTGTTTGATGTACTACATGTAGCTACTGTAGGATTTCTGTAAGAAATATTTACTATCATAGTGTAGGTAATTATAGATTGTTATTAGACACAGGAGTCCAGTTACAGATTATAACTTGACATTATGTACTTTCACTATTTTTTGCAATTTATCCTAATATTGTTAATATGATTAGACAGTGGCCTACGTATATTCTGTTAAAGGGATACTCAGGCAAATTAATGGCACAAATATTAAAATGATCTTATGTTCTCAAATCACACTAAAATGACATTTTTGAAGACGTCTCCCAGCATGAATTTCTGTTTAAATTTTATATATTTTCGGTTTGAAGTGTACATATATCTGCAAATGTTGAACGAAATTTAGACGCCGACAAAATCACCGAGTGGTTTTAAAACAAGTCATGCAAATTGAACAAACCCTAGAAGCTACAATAACAGATATTGTGGATATTGTATAATTGAAACAAGTCTAAGGCATTCATTTGACATGTTCTTTAACGTTTCCAGAGTTCACTGTTACAACTATTGTGAAATCTTAACGCTCTAACCTGACCCACGTGGGTCAGGTTAGGAATTCACCATTTGATTCTTTATAAGGACAAAAGTTTTGTCACTGTAACTGCCTAGTGTATTCATTTTCAGGACATTTATAGAATAATTAATGAAAAATTCAAAACGAAAAAATGAAAATTTTGCCTGTGTCTCCCTTTTAAAATAACTTCTTAATAATTCTAAAATACTAATTATTGAAATTCATAGACTTATAATTGTTACATACATGTATATTACATACAATGTATATATTTACCTTAAAATAAATCATGTTTGTTTCCATTTAGAATGTGGTAAAATCATGGTGTGATATCACAATAACTTTTATCCACACATATTCTTTTACTTGTTAAAATGCACTTTAATTTTCTTCTTGTTGATTGGCTGGCTGACATAGACTAGGATAGGTTACTGTTGTACAGATGTCATCATTTCTGTGTGCCAAAACACTTAAAACTTTCCCTTTTGGGTTTAAAATTATGTCTTTAATTTCATTGTAATTTTTTAGAGTTACTGATATAATGTTCTTAAAATGCTATGTAAATATAGTAGAAAAGTTATTTGCTATCAAAATATAGGCAGTTCAAGAGAAATCTTTGATATTTAGATGTATAAAGTGTAATAGAATTTAGTCTAAGAGGTGATAATAATATTAAGGTTTACTTATATTTTGTAAAAATATATATCTTTCATATTCAAGGCTCTAACACAAACATTCATAAGTCTTGAAAGTAGGGGATTGTTAATTTTATTTTTTTGGACAAGTTTTCAGGCTGACAGTAACTTACAAAGAAGTTTTCTTAGACAGTAACTTTCACAGTTTACTGGCTGACTGACAGTATATAACTTTCACAGTTTCCTGGCTGACAGTTACTTTCATAGTTCCCTGGCTGACAGTTACTTCCACAGTTTCCTGGCTGACAGTATATAACTTTCACAGTTCCCTGGCTGACAGACAGTCTATAACTTTCACAGTTACTTGGCTGTCAGTAACTTTCACAATTACTTGGCTGACAGTTACTTTCACAGTTACTTGGCTGACAGTAACTTTCATAGTTCCCTGGCTGCCAGTTACTTTCACAGTTTTTTGGCTGACAGTTACTTTCACAGTTACTTAGCTGACAGTTACTTTCATAGTTACTTGGCTGACAGTTACTTTCACAGTTACTTGGCTGACAGTTATTTTCACAGTTCCCTGGCTGAAAGTTACTTTCATAGTTTATTGGCTGACAGTTACTTTCACAGTTCCCTGGCTGACAGTTACTTTCACAGTTACTTGGCTGACAGTTACTTTCACAGTTACTTGGCTGACAGCTACTTTCACAGTTACTGACTGACAGTTACTTTCAGAGTTCCCTGGCTGACAGTTACTTTCACATTGCCCTGGCTGACAGTTACTTTCACAGTTCCCTGGCTGACAGTAACAGCTACTTTCACAGTTACTTGACTGACAGTTACTTTCAGAGTTCCCTGGCTGACAGTTACTTTCACATTTCCCTGGCTGACAGTTACTTTCACAGTTCCCTGGCTGACAGTAACAGTTACTTTCACAGTTCCCTGGCTGATAGTTACTTTCACATTTATTTGGCTGACAGTTACTTTCACAGTTACTTGGCTGACAGTTACTTTCACAGTTACTTGGCTGACAGTTACTTTCACATTTCCCTGGCTGACAGTTACTTTCACAGTTCCCTGGCTGACAGTTACATTCACAGTTCCCTGGCTGACAGTTACTTTCACAGTTTCCTGGCTGACAGTTACTTTCATAGTTTACTGGCTGACAGTTTCTTTCACAGTTACTTGGCTGACAGTTACTTTCATAGTTTACTGGCTTACAGTTACTTTCACAGTTTACTGGCTGACAGACAGTATATAACTTTCACAGTTCCTTGGCTGACAGTTACTTTCACAGTTACTTGGCTGACAGTTACTTTCAAAGTTCCCTTGCTGACAGTTACTTTCACAGTTTACTGGCTGACAGAACAGTATATAACTTTCACAGTTCCTTGGCTGACAGTTACTTTCACATTTATTTGGCTGACAGTTACTTTCACAGTTACTTGGCTGACAGTAACTATTACAGTTACTTGGCTGATAGTTACTTTCATAGTTACTTGGCTGACAGTTACTTTCATGCATGTAGTTTACTGGTTTGTTACTGACAGTTTGTTACTGACACTAATAAGCATTGATAGTCAAGAAAAAGATATTAGTATTAATTTTGTAACTGTTTGTGAAGTGTTTTCATTTTTCATATGTTCAAGTCTTTCTCTATTAATAGTAATTTCTTTTTCATTAGACAAGTTCATTTTAGTGCCAAGTATATTAGAAAAAAATTTATAATTGCTTTTTTAATTTGAAATTTTGAAAATATGCTTACATTTTAATTAGAAAAACAATTATAATATAATTGGTAACTTTTCATCTTAAATTTAAAGTCAAACTTGGACGTATTATAACAGGACAGAAGTAACTACTGACTTATGTTGGTGTCCAGTGGACAGCTGATTGTTTGATAAACATAGTGTTCAAATCATATATTGATGCTTTATATAAGTGAATAATTATGCTGATAAATTTTCATAGTATCATGTTAAAAAAAGACCTCATTGTTAAAATCTTTTGCCAGTTGACTTATAATTTTCTTATTTACACCATTTACAATGAATTTTCACAAGGGTCAACATGTCAACATGACAGAATGTTTAAGTACCAGCAGTGCTAACATTAGTTATCCCAGATTTAAAGTAAAGTCTACATTTATAAACGGAAAAAAAAAGAAAAAAGAAAAAAAAAGACATAGCCAAGCCTCAAGTCTGATTCTCAACATAATAAAAAACTTTTTTTTTATGTTCTTTCATCTTACAAACCTATTGTCACTTGTTCTTTTGACAGAGACTTATATCCTACAGGGTAATATATCGCTGATTGTTTAACAAAGAACCCCAGGGGTCTGGGTTCATGACAAGTTTTGAAGTGTAGTATACATGACTGTGTTATTATGAAGAATGAGAAATATGTAACAACATAAAATAAGTGTAGTTATAGATCAATGATGCTGGTAAAACATAATATGTTTAATTAAACAATTTTGTAATTAAGTTGATAGTGATAAATATGTTAACTTATATGTTACAGACATATCTGATGATATTATTATAACTGAAGATGTTTTCCTCACTTTACAAGAAAAGATTTTTTATTTTCATAGATTTCAAATTCTTTAAAAAATGTATAAAGTAACAATTCTATTTCAAGGCACTAATGTAGACTGGAATTCATAATAATCTTTGTTCATCACAGCTAAATTTACATGCATTGAAAATATGACAAATTCAAAGCAAGCAAAAATTGTAAAGTTAATTATAATGTCAGTTATTTTGTTAAACATAAAGAACACATTATATGAAAGAATAAAATACCTCTTTGCATATATTTCTAGACATATTTAAATACCAACACACAAAGAAGAACAAATGTATAATGTTAATTTCCTTAATTTAAGTATAAAAAAGGCAAATAAATTGAGATATATCTTTTTAGTATGAGACTGTTAATTTTAACAGCACCAATTATTTAATAGCGGGGCATACCTTAGTGATATGTGATTTGAAACCATATACAGTCTGATCATGTTGCAGAGGCCGGATTATAGTACAGGGGTTTTATATTTATTATCTTAGTAATGACCATAGAAGTTTGGAAAAAGTCATATGAAAAACTTTGACAAAATTAAAGAAAACACACAACTTTTTTACTACATACATGTATTAATTTTAAGTCAATTATCAATAACAGAAAAGAGTATAATTTGTTTGACACTGTATGAAACAAAGTAAGATAAGTCATGCAGAATACAACTTGATTATTAATGTTGATAAAGAAATTGTTATATCAAATTAAAAATTGTCAAATCTTAAGCTAATTCATTAGTGACAATCAAGAAAGAAATGAACTAGCAAAGATAAAGAAAAACAAAAATTAAATTAGAAAAAGGAAAACACAAAAGCAAATGTACAATATTTAAACGAGGTGTCTTCAACAACATGTCAACCAAAACCAGGTAGAAAATGTGAAAATTTACCGGACCATGAAAAAAACATGAATACAAAATGCAAAAAGGATACCTTGAATAACTAAAGAAAGATAACTCTTGTAAGCAGAATTATTTGTCTTAAATTAAAATGAAGAATCTGGCAAATAAAACTTCAAACTATGAAAATGCAAAGATCTATGAAAATACTAGAATTAAACTTAATTAATCAAGATGTAAACTAATTAATCAAGATTTATACTATTAAATATCTGCCAAATAATTTGATTATTAAAATGTTTTAGTAAACAAATAAACTTCACCATAATAAAGAAAACAATTAAGATTGTTTTAATGTGAATTAGACATAATTGCCTCCTATGTTTCTAGATCTGCAGGAGTTGGCAGCCTAATCTACAAAATTAAGTTTTTTT